TGTTACTGGTTCTGCTGGTGAGACGATGTGTTCACAGGAAACCTGAAGGTGAGACTCAGACTTCCTGATCTTTCATGTCTGAGTTTGTTTAGTAGAATAAATTTCACATTCATGATGATCATTAAACAAAACAAAAAAAAAGGTTGGGATGGGTTAATAGAAAAATCTAAATTGCACATTGGTGTGAATACGTGAGTGAGAATGGTTTTCTGTTTCCGTGTGTTGGCCCTACGCCAGACTGGCGACCTGTTCAGGGTGTACCCTGCCTGTCACCCTAAGACAGCTGGGATAGACTCCCCCACGCCCCTGAAAAGGATAAGCGGAGGCAAATGGATGGATGGAAATTTAAAAAAAACAAACAAAACCAAACAGTAAAACCCAAAAGTCATATGACCTCTTATGAGCAAGCGCTTTGTTGAAAGTGGGGAGGAAAATCTCTCTTTTATCAGGAAGGAACCTCCAGCAGAATCAGGCTCAGGGAGGGGCAGCCATCTGCCGTGATTGGTTGGGGTGAGGGGAGGAAGACAGGACAGAGACATCTTGTAGGAGAGAGCCAAAGATTCATAATGGCAAATGTTTAAATGTGGAGTATAAGCACATAGTGAGTGTAAAAGTTGACTGACACAGATACACTTAGTGCATTACGGTAATCTAGTTTTTCAGCATCACTTTGAGACAGACATGGGAGAAAGTAGCAAGTAGTTGAATATGGACACTGAAGGATATAATCTGGTCAAAAATAACTACAAGGTTTCTCACAGTGTTCCTGGAGGCAAAGTTAATGACATTAAGAGTACGTATCTAGTGAAATACCACATTTGTGACATTGGTTTTGGGTCAAATCTCTGTTTAGATATTTAATTCGTATTATTGATCAGCTTGGATCATTTCAGTAGATCAAGAGGAAAGTGAAGAAGATGACCTCATCACTCATGTCATCATCAAGATATCAGCTCATCGAGAACAACCTGTCAAAGAAAGACAAGGTAATATTTTTTTCTTTATGGTGGGTTGAGGGTCATTGCCCTTTCATGTGAGGTCAACGATCTGTTTTTAATATTTTTTGGAAGTATATAAATAATCCTGTAAAGACTTTCATAAAGGAAGTATTGAAAACAAATAACGATGATTTAAAAAACGTGTAAACAGACATTTCAAGGAGAATTTCATATAAATCTAAATCTGCAATAAACATGGTTGCCCCGCCCCAAAAAGAGCCAGTCAGCAGCTGAAACTGGAACACACACAGAAAGATGTGAGATGTACTGGATATATCTTATTGTGTCAAAGATGAACTTGGTAGTCTCGATAGCCAGGGACTTGGTCGACCAGGGTCTCCGCTCCTGGCCACGCCCCCACAGCTATACCTAACCCCTACAGCTCCTCGTGTGGGTGCCGGGCCGACAAAAGTGTCTCTTTTATGGGCTATGCCCAGCCAGGCCACATGGACCTCTTTTCATAAGAGTTGTTGAATTGCTCTTTCTCTGGTCCCTCACCCAGGACCAATTTGTTACAGCAGACCCTAACAAAG